GTGTGTCAGGGAATCCCTCCTCCTGGGAGCCAAGAGGAAGTCTGTCAAAACTAGAAGTGAAAGATGTTAAAATCAATCCAGCTACAGAGACAATCTATTAGTGACAAATGCCCCGTCTCCAAAAAACAACAATGAAGTATTCTGTGTGCTAACAGCATAGCTTTAAAAAAAAAAGTAAAACAAAAATCTGCATTTTTATAAAACTTGATAAAAAATAGTATTTCAGACTGTACAGTCACCAGAAGTACACAGTTGTCAAAAATGCACACACTTCACTTGGCATCTCCAGCACCTTCAGCTTTCTGTGCCTGGTCTGTTTTGGCATCTCCGTTTTCTGCAGGGTTCTTCCCATCCTTGCGAGCATCAGCTTTTGCCTCTTTTCCTTCTCTCCCTGTTTTGCAGGGGCCTTTTTAGGCTTGGGCTCTGACTTTGGAAGAGCAGGTTTTGCAGACAACCTTGCAGATCTTCTCTGTGGTTCATTCTTCACCTTAGCTTTATCTCCTTTAGCCTCCCCTTCAGCCTTTCTCTTGGACATGGTGGCGATGACAGTGGGGCGTAGGCCCTAGACGTGGGGGATGCTGAGCTGCACAGCCTTTGGTCACTCCGGGGGTTGCTCTTGCCTCTTCTTCACACTGTTCCAAGATATTTATTAATAAATACTAATATTTATTAATAGTATCTTTCTAAACTGCATAGAATGCAGATATCTTCTGAATATGCAGTAATCTTCTGATATTTTCATTTTATATAGTTCAGAAAGCAGGTAATTACACTGTGAAGTGCAGCATTAATCCTAAACTACTTTTTTTTTTTCCCTGTAATTTGCCAGAGGTGTGTGTCTCTAGCCAGAGAGAAAGTGAGAAAGCAGCCCCCCATAGGGGATATCACACTGTAGTCCCTTCTCCATTTGTTCCTCCTTTGAAGATTTTGGACATTGGGGCCAGCAGGTGGCATGGTGGTTAAAGGCACTGGACTCCCACATGGCCGACTGCAGTTCAAGTCCCGGACCTGGTGGCTAGCTTTCTCATTTTCTCTCTTTCTTTCTCTCTCTCTCCCTCACTCTCACACATTCTGTCCCTCTCTGGTCAAATTAAAAGAAAATAAATTAATTAAATTAAATTAAAAATAATTCTTTTAAAAAAGAGGGTTTGGGACATGAACATACATACTTATGTTTTTGAAACTGCCTAGTCTGGAACTCAGACTGTGCAGCTAGCTATGTGTGATCCAGCTGCTTTGACCTCCATGCCATGGGCTAACTCAGTCCTGCCCTAGTATTAAATCCTTCCCTTTTCTCTTATATCCAGTCTCTATAATGATGTTTAATATATAGATGGCAAGTGTTTACTTAAAATATACCATAGGGGGATGGTATAATATACCAAAGGATGTTTTGGCAATATAACCATCTGTCAATGGAAAAATAGCATGAATTCATAGTATACTGAACATATCTTAAAGGATTCTAAGAAACTTTCCAATTTGGGGTTGGAGAATATTTCATTTTTTTTAATATTGTAGTTCAAAATTGAAAAATGTTTAACTTTGTGTCCTGCAAATAGATTGCTTTCATACCCTCAAGAAGATTTCCCTTCATCTTTTGTATTAGTTTCCTATTACTGCTGTAACAAATTACTATAAATTTAGTGGCTTTAAACAACAGAAATTTATTATATCGTAGTCTAGAGATCAGAAATTCTCACTGAGCTAAAATCAAGATGTTTGTTGGGTATATAAAGAAAGGAAAGAGGTACAGAGAAAAGAGAAAAAAGAGAGAATTTATTTTTAAAATGTTAAGCTTAAGAACAGTTATCAATAACATTCTGAATGACCAAGAGGTGATTAGGAATGTTTCCAAATTCACGAAAAAGACATGAACTAGAGTCAGAGCTATACACATAATTTTATTTGTATTATATAGCACTGGTCCTTAAATTGGTGGGTCAGGGTCATTATTGATGCTGTGGAAATTGTGATTAAAGCTATGTATGATCTTCCTTGGTGAAAATACCAATAGGGCTAAAAACTTACATTTGAGTGCAATTGTTGGTATTCTCTTTCAAAAAGCCTCACAAACAGGAAAGCAAAAATTTATTATTTTAAAGAAAAGTGTGGCTCTGCAGTAGATTTTTAGGTTCTATGATTTGTGGATTCACCCAGATACTATTTGCTTGTGAACTCATTACTTGAGTGCCAGTCACGAGCAGTTACAGCATCCTTTTTTGTTGTATCATAAAATTATTACACTTCCAAGAGAACAAAACTATGTTAGGGAATATTTTGAAAATGAAACCCAAATAAAATCAATTAGAATTCAGTAGAAGTCAGTATTGTGTCACAATGCTTGTTAGCTTTTTCCCTGCCCCCCGGGCACTTAGTTGAATGGACTAGATACTATGTTTAACATTAAGTATGAGTTAATAATAATAAAGGTAGGTAAAATTTTAATTTATAAACATAATGGTGGGCAATTATTTTATCTCACACTAACAAAATTAAGCTTATGAGTAACGTAAGTTTATGGAAATATCCAGCGCAATATATTAACGTGGATATAAATCTGGAATATAGTATTGTGGCCACACCGTCTGACTTCTAGTGTTCTAGCCTCTCCCTAGATTAAGCAAGGAGAAGAGTGAAAGTTAGGAACTATTGTTGATGACTGGGAAATGGGAAGAATGGGAAAACTGTTATGATCATATCTTTAACTGGACTAATATAGTATGTAGTCATACTGGAAAAATTCATTTGCATGCTGTAATGATTTACAGTGATTGAATATATTTTAAAAAATAAAATTTTCCTAAAAAAAAAAACCTCAAGTATTCTGTGTATCACAAAATGTTCCAGCAGCCAGCAGGTAGTATAGTGGTTAAAGTGCTGGATTCCCACTGCTGGGCAGGTATGCATGCCTGCTCAGGATCCCAGGAGGGGAATGGAGAAGGGATTGCAGAGTGGCCAATCCCCCAGGAACTGATTTCTCACTTTCCCTATCTCTATCTCTCTCTCTTTCTCTCTTCAGCAAGCATGCGTACCTTAAAGAAAGAAACGTTTTAAGAAAAAGAAAATGTTCTAGTATATGGTCAGAATATGTAAGTTTTCTAGAAGGTGGACTGTTAAATATTTTAAGTGTTTTAAAACTGTTGCTTCCTTACAGTAGGCACCTAAAACAAAGAAGAAACATTTTAGAATTTCTCTAGACTGTTTCCCTTGGCCTTCTACTTTGCTAGCAGTTAGTTAGGTTTTATAATAGGCTTGGTGTAATCATAAGGCAAGAGGGCTTTACAAGGGAATGAAATCAAACACAATTATCATGTGTACCCTTTTTGTCTAACATCTTCCACTCATCATGCTTTGTGTATCATGGGGGAGGGGGCCATGATACACAAAACATAATGAGTGGAAGAAGTTAGACAAAAAGGGTACACATGATAATTGTGTTTGATTTTTTTTTTTTATATGAAGGCCCCAAACAGGCAGATGAATCTACATGTTAGAAATTAGAACAGTAGTTACCTATTTGAAGTGAAGGCGATATAAGGGGATTTTCTGGAGTGATGAAAATGTTCTGTATGTTGATTATCATGTTGGTTATACATGTGTCTTAGTTTATTTGGGCAACTATAATAAAATACCATCAACAGGGTAATTTTATAAATGATAAAAATTTATTTCTCACAGTTCTGTAGGCCTAGAAGTCTTACGATCAAAATGCCAGCAGATTTGATGTCTGATGAGGGCCCCCATCTTGTTCTTAATTGGTACCTATAACTGTGTCTTTGCATGGTAGAAAGGACAAGCTAGTTTTCTAAGACCTCTTTAACAGGACCCTAATCTGAGTTATGAGAATCTTGTCTTCAAAACCTAATCACCTCCCCACTTCCTATTCATGGGGGTTAGAATTTCAACATACGAATTTTGAGAGGGATACATTCATTCAGATCATATTATTATGTTTGTCAGAATCTATTCAATTTTATATATTTAAAATCTGTTTATGATACAGTATTTAAAGTATATATCAATAAAATAAATATATAAAGTTAAAAAAGAAGGGGAACTTTCAGGCAAGCACAATGTCAAGAGTGACAAATAACAATGTAGAATGTGGAGAGACACTAAGAAGCACAGAGTTGTTACATAGAGCTTTAATTGACATTTATAATAACCAAGATAAATTCAAGTTATATTCAGTATAATTTTCTAAGAAGTTAGCAAGGCATCTACTTTTAGAAAGGATTTTGTTAATAATTGAGGTATTGAAAGTTTTAGAACTGGGATATTTAGGTGTCATTTGTGTAGACCATCTATATTTAACATATTTTCTAGATTTTATGTGGAAAATAGTTGTTAATATTGGGAAATGATTCTGAAATGGACTAGAATATAGTCTGTTTTAAGAGTCTGCCAAAAAGGATTGAACGGTGTTTACAGACTAATTACTAATTACTTTCTAAGTGTAGAAACAATTGTCAGGAACTTAGAGGTACCACAGTTAACTGTGTGAAGATACAGCAATACATTGTCCTTGTTATAATCTTGCAGCAAATGGACATACATAGACAGGTTTGACAGTAGCCTATGTAAGGGGTTGTCAGAAAAGTCATGATGTATTTTTTCTGTTTTTATATGCAAAAATGCATCATTACTGTTCCAACAACCCAATATTATAACTTGACAGTGTTTTATCTCTGGGCCCTTTCACAACTATTATAATTCCAGGGCACTCAGATGTGCTTGTATTAGAATGATGAATTGAAATAAGGGTTTTATAGTCTTTTATTGTGAGATTAGTCTTCAACATAAAGGATAACCTTTATTTAAGTAGTAGTTTTTACCTCTTTTAAGTAGGTTACTTTCTGTGGACTGTCATGGAAGTAGTAAATACCTTAGCGACCACATTTTAACTAATGTGGTCTTTGGTTTCTCAAACAAGACTGACAGCTTGGCAGTTTTCTGTTTGTGGAAAAGCTAATTTCTGATCTTTGCATCTATTTTAGTAATAGTTATGCACGAGTGCGAGCTGTGGTGATGACCCGAGATGACTCAAGTGGTGGATGGTTACCACTTGGAGGGAGTGGACTAAGCAGCGTCACTGTCTTCAAAGTCCCTCATCAGGAAGAGAATGGCTGTGCTGACTTTTTTATCCGTGGAGAGCGACTCAGGGACAAAATGGTAATGAATAATATATGTATTGATATCATTTTAGGATATTTTCTGTGAAATGAATTACCTGTTTAAGATTATGATAGTGTTTATTTTTGCTCATGAATTAATGATTATCCTTTTGGAGCTATTTTTCTGTTATGGTGAAATATAAGTTTTCTTCAAACTGGGTCTGACATTAATGTACATTTGTTGGGGGTGAGTGGTGCTTTTCCATTTAGATTTAAAGCAGGAGCATTCACGAATAGTCTTCCTAGTTTTTAAACCAGTTACATCCACTATTCCCTAGACCTGAGTTTTTGTATGGCTTGTAAATGAGTGGTTTTTATATTTTTAATGGTTTAAAAAAATCAAAGAAAAATAATAATTTTGTGACATGTAAAACTTTAAAAAAATTTCTAATCTCAGTGTCCATAAATAAAGGTACATGGGAGCATAGCCAGTATTTCTTTCAGTTTTGTCTATGGAGACTTTCACACTTAAGTGATTGCAGAGTTGCGTACCAACAGAGACCATAAGTATCTGGCCCTTACAGAGAAATTTTGCTGACCTAGACTTCTGTATTCTCGGTCTTCATTCCTCATATTAGTTCATTTATTCTGAGCTCATAAAACTTACCTGGTCATTAGTCTAGCTTAAATTTCAGTCTAACTTTTGTTCTCTTTTAATTAATATGAAAAGTTCTTTTGCTTTTTATTTTATTTGTGAACCCAGACAACGAATTACATCTAGAAAGTGGAGTAAAACTCATGTATTTTTCTTTGAGGAAAAGGAGGGCAGCATGTATTTAGAAGGAAAATGAAAATAAAATACCAAAATTTCTAAGACTCTTGAGAATAAGTAGAATTTCCTTTATGTATATAGTTGTGTAATGAATGGTTTATGAGTCCATTTAGCATCTGTATTACTTCTGCTGGAAATGTGTTTCAAATAATTCCTTATATATGAATATTTCAAATACAACTACTATTGATATTGGGTTTGGATTCCTTGGTATTTTTAACTACTGAATCATTTCAGTAATTTTATAAATTACTTAACTTGTCTGTGCCCCAGTTTTTTCCTCAGTTAAAAGGACAGTTTTTCTAAGTCCTGTCAAATGCCCTCCATTTCTGGTGTTTAGTGAGTTTATGATTCATCCCTGTATTACACATTGCACAGTGTATCTCAGTTAACCAGAATGTGCTATTATAAAGGTATAACGGTGGTCTTGGGCTTGGATAAACTCGTGTCTGGCACATGCTAATGCTTTCTTTCTTTTTAAAGAATTATTTTTATTTTTTATTCATTCACTCACTCATTCATTTAAATTTGACCAGAGAGGGACAGAATGTGAGAGAGAAAGCAAGCCACCAGGTCAGGAACTAGAATCATGTCAGCCATATGGGAGTCCAGCACTCTCAACCACCACGCCACCTGCCAGCCCCATACTAATGCTTTTAATCATGGAGATATCTAAGAAAGGACTGATGGTGACCACCTAGCCTAGATAAAATGCTTCTAGTTTGAGCCACTGGCAACTCCAAATGTTATTAGAGAAGAAGTTGTAGATTTTAGACACTGAGTAAAATAGTGAAAATGTAAGGTGTTTTTAATAGTGAAGCTTTTCTTAAAATAGTAAAAATATGAAAGACGATAGAAGTCAAATGTAGAGTAAGAATTGAATAAAAAATCTTGTTAGAGAAAATCTAAGAACAAGGGAAAAAATGACCTAGATGTGAAATACAGAAAAGAAGAATCAGTGAACAAGAATGTTAGTGGAGATGGACAGTTGAAAGTAACTGAAAGACCAAATCTGTATCACAGGGAGCGAGGCTGATTAGGGATAGTCAGACTGATGGATTAGGTGACTGTGCAGTCTCTGACATTTAAACTAGTGACTATACACCTGGGGTTCAGAAAGAACATGCTTAGAAATAAATGAGAATTTAATCTAGTACTAGGGTACAGAATCATGATAGATCAACAAGAAAATGTTTTTTTGTGCTGTAGAAGTACTGACAGGACTCAGTCACCTGCTTTACCTAACTATTTCTCCTTGAGGGAGGTCGTTATTTGTGAAGCAGGGATACCAGACATATCTCAGTTCAAAAGTAAAGTAAAATTAATTTTCAAATGGAGACATTTTTCAGGGGTTTCAACTATAATAAAGCATTCTGTATTGTAGAGAGGTATGGTAAAAAGCAAAGGCAACAGTTAATGACCTTAAACTGAAAATAGTAAAGTCATGTGGAGTCTCAGGACAAATGGGACAGTGACATTGAAATAAGCAGGCTATGAGGGACCAGCAGTTAGCATAATGGCTATGTCGCTGGACTCCCACGTAGTCGACCATGGTTTGAGTCCCGGACCCGGTGGCTTAAACTCACGCTGGGCGTGTGTGCGTGCGTGCCTAAGATCTTGAGAGGAGAATGGAGGAGAAAGGATTGCGGCGTGGTCATCCCCCCTCATGGGTGATTTCTCACTTTCTGTCTCTGTCTGTCTGGCAAGCGCACACACCCTATAGCAAAAACCTCTCCCCCCCAAAAAAAAGAAAGAAGCAGGCTACAATTGGACCCCACTGCTCAGTGATAGACTTCTAGCCAACACTACTACTGAAAGGTTCAGTAATGGCATGGAAGTATGTATACTTTTTTTTTTCATTATCACCACATTATGGAATCATTAATGTCTGTTACTATGTGCATTTTTATTGATTGGTTTTATTTAATCTTTTTTCTGGGTTCTCATTTAAAAACTTTTTCTTTTTTAAAAGAGAGGTTTTTGCTGTAGGGTGCATGCACTCAACAGAGAGACAAACAGAGACAGAAAGCTAGATTGCTGTGATGGCCACACAGCAATCCCTTCTCCAGTCTCTTCTCGGGATTTTGGGCATGTACACATACATGCCTGTCATGAATTTTAAACCATTGGGTCCAGGACTCAAACCACAGCCCACTGTGTGGGAGTCTAGTGACTTAACCATTATGCTATCTGCTGGTTCCAATTTTGCTTTTTTAAACATTACTGAGCATGAAACCTATAAGGTTCTTCACATACTGATGAGACCTTTCTTTTAAAAACCTTAGTGGATAAATAGCGCATTTTAATAGTTACATATAATAGTTTATTGTATAAGAAATAGTTGCTAAAAACTCTTCTGTCCCCATTTTTACTGTAAGTCAAATCTTCAAATCCCCTACCAGCCATGACATCTGTTCGGTTGTTAGAAAAGTCATGCACATTTTTGCCTAGAAAAACAACCCAATAGAAGGGAGATTCTTGCCCTTCACAACCCATGAACTATATGTTCCCTTTAAGAAAGTATTGGTAAATAGTAAGGAGTGCATATGGCCACTTTTCTGACTAATAAAGAAAAACTAGATACTGTTGTAAAGGGTGTCTAGCAGTCACAGTTCTGCTAACAATAGAGAAGTAGAAAGGTAGCTTTTCTCAACCATTTTAGCAGGCTTTTCCAGCCTCTCATTTATAATTACTTTCACTAAAACATAAATTTTGTCAGGGCCAGTAGGTGGTGCAGTGGTTAAGGCACAGGACTCTCACACATTTGACCTTGGGTCAAGTCCCAGACCTAGTGGCTTGAAAATCATGCTAGGTGCATGTGCATGCATGCCCAAAATCCCAGGAAGAGAATGAAGAAGGGATTGCAGCATGACCATCCCTCCTGGGGGGTGATTTTTTAGTTTCTTTCTCATTGTCTGTCTCTCTCCAGTGAACATATGCACTCTATGGCAAAAACCTTTAAAAAAAAAAAAAAAGTCTTGTCATACTTCCCAAAGGTTTATCATTTATTTATTTATTTAAAAGGAAGGTACACATAAAGAGTACGCTTCCCAGGAGTTTTTCAAAAAGTCATCCTTTTGCAACATTGGGTCAGTACTTATTCATCCGTTTACTTTCGCACTCAGAATGCCCAGAAATGATTATTTCTTAAGATGCTTACTAACTTGCTCTCCTTTATGATACCTAAAAAAGGTCAAGTTTATTTCTTGGTTGTCTTTTTGATGACACTGTGTGTCATCAGTGGGTTAAAGTGGCTGGAACCTCCAGACTAGTTGCATTATAAATGTTACTCTGTGTGTGCCTGAAGAGGAACGGTTGAAAAGCAGTGCTCTATACATCGTTTACTTTCCTGCTTTCTTGATTGAGAAAGAATTTGCAAGAAACATCAGGTTTTGGTGTTAGAGTCACAGACACTTTGTGATGGAATAATCTTTGTCAAGGACAGAATTCTTCAACCTCTTTCTTGATATATGTGAACTGTATCCTCCATTTCCTTCTTGATCTTTATAACCTTGATTTCCTACATTAATATAAGTTAGTATCACATATTTTTTAAAAGGCTAACTTTTTTGCTCCACATTCCCCATAATAGAAGCGTTCTTTTAACATTTAGTTTTCATTAGGTGTAGTGACTCTTCTCTGTTAAGTATTGTATAAACAACAACAAAGTATCTTAAACAAAAATTTTGGCAGAATATTTGCCACATATATAGGTTGTTTTATTTAATTATAAGCAGGATTGTATGTAATAATGTAAATTTAAAACACTGAATGAATTATAATATACCCTTAGAATTTTTATAAGTACCTGAAAAATATTGCTAAAGCAGGGCCAGCCACATTGGTGGTGCAGCAGAAATGTGATAGGCCATGAAGCTAAGACTATAGGGGAAGTCCCAGGTTCACACTCTGTACCAGTTGGGCATGTGTGCCTGCCTAGGATCCTGGCTGGCAGAGGCTGGGGATGGATTACATCATGAAGACCCTGTTACCGTCCCTTTTGGAAGAAGTAAATAAATCAACTTTTAAAAATTTGCTAAAATATGTATTTACTACTAAGCTCAGTTTTTAATAGTGATAGGGATCTGAAGTAGCATTTATTTATTTTTTTTAATTAATTGCCAGAAGATGCACATACTCATCACAGAGAGAGGTTGAAGGAAAAAAGGGCACCCCTTCCTTTCAGTTGCAGTGTGGTCATGCCACAATCCCTTTTCTCCATTTCT